TGGAACCTGGAAGATAAATCAGTAGACTTAAGATTTTAACAATTATCATTATGATAAAGAATGTATTATGGTAAATACTGTTCTAACTTTTTTTTAACATACCATGAGCAAAGATCTTTATGCTTTCAAAAACTTTCAAAATCCTACAGTAATTACACATCTGAAACATCATCTTGGCTTCTGTATGTCTTGCAGTAACTCCTGTATGATCTCATACTTGATTCTGATCCTTCTGTGCTTAATTTAATTTTATTGAAATTTTGGCCAAATTTGTTGGGATTTTTGTCCCTGAGCCAAAGTTCTCAAGATGTTGGATGCATACCAGTGTGTTGGACCCTCTGTGACTTCACTGGCTTTTTTAGTAATTACATACCAAGATGTTTAGCAATATACTGACTTATATAAAGAACTGAATTACTTGCCACATGATAATCATATGATAAAATTATTAGTAATAAAGGTGGTTGTGTAACTGAAGGGCATCTGTTCTTGCTGAGACCATCTCCCTGACTCTCCACAAAATGGAATCTAAGGATTTGTTTGGTGTTCAAGGACAGAAGTGGATGGCAGTGCTAATGCAGCTGTGAACTTCATGATCATATGTGCAGGCTGGAGACACTATCATTTGCTTTATATGCATCATATCACTGTAGTTTGTATTCTTTATCAAAACTACCAGACTCGCAAAATTTCACATAGTTCAGGCGTGGCCGAAGACCTGTATTTGAAAAAGCAGTGTGCTACTGCTACATTTTGAAGTGTTTGCATAGAAAAGGAAGTACAAATAGGATTTTTATGTTGTCCAGGTGCTATAGTGATTGATGCAATTTGTTTGGGGAGGACGGTGTTACTAAGTTTCATGAGGATATAGTGTATGTGCTTAGAACACTTTGTCTGCAGCCTGTTTTTATTGCAGCAACTAGTAGTGTAAAAGAAATAGTAAAATACAGAATTAACTAAAGAGTAATGGCTCAGTTATTTAAACATGTAAGTAGGAAACCAAGGCTTTAGAGGTAATACGGAATTAGCATGTGTATAGAAAAGTAGAATCAGTCTTGTGAAGCGGAAATTTTCAGTTCATGCGGACACTGTGAAAAATTGTCACTTAAAGGAAAATGTTTGAGAACTATAGAGAAAATTTACTAAATAGTCAAGCTCATTGGTAGTAGTTGGAACATTTCGGGAAAGTTTTTATAAATATGTTTATAAAAGCAAGTCTGAATATCCTTTTGTAAACTTTCCATGCTTAGTGAATGAGTCTTTCTCTGGAAAAATACTATGTTCAAATGTAAAGTCAAAGTCTTTCACTATAACTTCTACTGTTCAGTTATTCCTGATGTCAGTATTGATTTGGAGATGAGCTATGTATAAAAGTGTGTGAACAGCTGTGGTGAGCAGCTAACATTGACGCGCAGTTTCTTGCATTATCAGTGTGTTTGTGTGAAATGAACAGAGGCCTCTTCTGCGTTTCCCCTGCTCTAGGTTAGTCCAAGAAGGAAGAAATTGTTTATCTCATTCCATTTTAACTTAAATTATGTAAATGTTTGGAAACTTAATTTTCTTCATAGGAGTTGCTGGGAACTGCCGGGACATTTTGAAAGCAGTTGGTCCTTATAGTGCATAACGTTTCCAGATAATTTTTTATTAGCTAGTGTGTATCAAAATCTGACAAAAACTGAGAGAAGCTTTAGCTGCAGAGTTGGGACACTGATAATCCTTTCAAAGCAAGAACTGGTTCAAATTTGGCTTTTTAGAAGGGGCACTTGCTTTGCTTAAAAGTAAATTAATCAGTTACATTAAACTGAATACTTCTGTGTCTCAGGGTAAATTTTTATTGGCCTATATGTCTGGATTTTTGGAGCGGAATTTTAGATTTGAAATAAGTTGATGCATCACAAAAGTTAAGTTGCTTACAATAAGGGGAAGTTATTCTGTAAATAAGGGAATTTTTTTTCCTGATAGATGTAAAATCCCTAAAATTGGTCTGATAGGCCAAGCTGTTCCTTCTAGGATTAGAACCTGTCATCTACTCAAGACAGAAACATGCATTTCTCGACAGCAGTAGCATTTTCTGAACTGTTTGAGGGCACAGCTGTCTTCATCTGTGAGGTGCACCATGGGAAAGTCTGTCTGGGACTGATGCACCCCTCCTAGGAGGAAAGGCTGAGAGTTAGACTGTTCATGTAGAAGAGAAGGCTCAGGGGGATCTCATTAATGTGTACCTGAAGGAAAGGTGCAAAGGGGATGGAGCCAGACTCTTTCCATTGGTGCCCAGTGACAGGACTGGAGGCACAGGAGGCTTCCTCTAAACACCTAGAAAAACTTTGCCACTGTGAGGGTGACTGAGCACTAGCACAGGTTGCCCATGGAGGTGGTAGAATATCCATTCTCAGAGATACTCAGAAGCCATCTGGACACCAGGGTACCCAGCTCTAGGTGACCCTACTTGAACAGAGGGTTGGACCAGGTAAACACCAGAGGTCCCTGCCAGCCTCCACCACTCTGTGACTGTGTGTGTGTGACTGGGGGAAGTGCAGGGTAGGAGATAGTGATGGGGGCACTGGCAGAGTAGGGATAGGAGTAGGAGCAGTTGAGATGTGCCCCCCTTCTCAACAGAGGGTCCAGCACTGGAAATGAGGGAGAGAGGAGGTGCAGCTCTCAGCACTCACTCTCTTGTTCTCCTTCTCTGTTGCATAGCTGGAGCTTTTTCAGAGCTGCTGCAGACACTTTCACCTTGTTTTCTGCCTCTCTTTCCCAACTGTGTTTGATTCCCTAGTGTGAGAGCAGTCCCTTGCTGTCCAGTGGGTAATAATTACTTTTCTCCCAGTTTCTTACTAGAAGCAAAGCTTTTTGGCTTTTGAAATAAACATGACTTGCCTGAAAAATACCAATTACACATAACATAATATTCAATTTTGTTTTATACTGCTTTTTAATTTTTTTGGAGAATGAATTGCAAAATAAAATTGGCAACTGCTTAGGCAGTAATACTAGTAAATGTGATTTAAAAATCTGTCTCTACTACTCGGTATTGAAATAGCTTTTATCCTGTTTAAAATAGTTGTTTTCCAGTTGCTTAAAATTAAACCAACCCAAGTACCAGAGTCATCTTGTTATATGTTGTTTCTGTTTTCATGAAGTGGTACAGTCCAGGATGTGCCTAAAAAATACCAGAAGGAAAAATAATAATTTTAACACAAGTGTATCAAACCATTGCCCATTACTATGATTTGTATTGTGTGACTAGTCAACATTTCACTCTCATTTTACCTACTTAGTTGAAATTCAGTGGTCCTTTGGGGTGCTGTACCACTCAGGATATTCTGTGTTTCTGTGATTATTTGATATGTAAATATTTTGTTTAAACTCTATTGTTTTAAAATAGAGATGAAAGTAGATGAGTGGCCAGTTTGGTATTGCTTCAATTGACAGAGAGATTACTAATAATCACTAACACTGCTTTCTACTTGTAGATCATTAAGTTGTAAAGTCTTTGCTGAAGGGACCTCCAGAGGTTTTGCAGTTTAACAGTGCTTATCCAGCTGTCAGGAAGCTAATGCCCAGTGGTCTATCAGGATAAACTCAGATATAGTTGAGACTATCCCATCTTTCTTCTTAACTGTTGCATAAACATAACTCCCAGCAAAGCTTTTTTCCAAAGTTTCCAGTGGACCAAGTGTTTACAAGGGCAGCAGAGAGCTTGACTGTAATACAAGGTATTGTGATGTTTCAATATTTTTTTTTTTCACCTCTTTTTTCTAGGGTCCGGGTATAGCTCATCCCTATGACAGTGGGCACATAGCAATGACTTACACTGGTCTGTCATGTCTGGTTATTCTTGGAGATGACTTAAGTCGAGTAAATAAAGATGCCATACTGGAGGGACTGAGAGCTCTGCAGCTGGAGGATGGAAGGTAAAAGATACTTTATATTCTACAACTCTCTGGAAGGTTAATAGAAACCCGGATGTGGAATGAGATACAAGAAACATGGTTTTTATGGAAGTAGCTATAAAATCTTTTTGTTCTATGAGAAAATACTCCGGTTGGTAGTTAGTATCAGTCATAGAACACACCCAGTGCATGTGCTGGCTTCTTGCAAATAATTAAGTCATCAAAGTATACTAGCTAGCTCATCGAACCAAGTGGAGGCTTGTCAGGCAGCAAGTCATAGAAGAAACAAAGGTTTATTGTCACAGGTAATTCAACTGTTTACCTATTTCTGTTTATCATAGAATTATTTAGGTTAGAAAGCATCAGGTTGGATCATGAAGTCCAGTTGTTGACATGGCACTGCCTAGTCCAGCACTGAACCATGTCCCTAAGCGCCACATCTCTTGGGTCTTTTAAATACCTTCATGAATAGTGACTCCAGCACTTCCTTGGGTAGTGAGTGCCAATGCTTGAAAACCCTTCTGGTGAAGAAATTTTCCTAATATCCAGTCTAAAACTCCCCTGGTGCAACCTGAAGCCATTTCTTCTGTCCGGCTTGGGAGAAGAGACCAGTCCCCACCTCACTACAACCTCATTTCAGGTAGTTGTAGAGAACATCCTTTTCTCCAGGCTAAATACCCGCAGCGTCTCATAAGATTTATGCTCCAGACCCTTCCCCAGCTCTGTTGCCATTCTCTGGACATGCTCCAGCACCTCAATGTCTTTCTTGTCATGTCCCAGAACTGGACACAGCATACACCTTACCAATGCTCAGTACAGTGGGATGGTCACTGCCCTGGCCCTGCTGGTGACTCTCTGGTACAATCATCCAGATCACGGCATCAGTCATCATTTTAAGGGTCTCTGAGGTTGTGCCAAAATTACCCAGATACCACTTTAAAATGTTCATAGCATTTGGAAAGATTGTAACCATAAAAAATGAGAAAATGAGTTGAAGGCTTTTTTCACCATTTGTATTAGACATGGTGTATTAGCAATTACATTTATACTTACATGGGAACCTGAAGTTGCAGTCAGGAAGGTAAGCCTTGTGAGCTATTAAGATTCTTAGGAAGGCAAAGAATTCTGGCCAAAACAGTAAATGTTAAAATGGTAAATGGTATGTTAGTATATACTATAATAGGTGAAAGACAGCAGGCATTGATTTCTGTGTCATTACATTGCTGGAAATGGTCAGCCAGGCTCCTAAATGTTGATAAGTTCTATTTGTTCTCCTTGGCTTAGAATCACATCTAAAAAGCAAAACTAGTGTAGCTTTGGGTTATATCTATGAGACTACTCTAAATAGAAGTAACTAATTTTTAAAGAAAACACTGTGCAGTTTCTTATACTGCTTTTCACATTTTCTGGTGTAACAGTCGATAAAGTGTCTAAAGACAGAAATGTTTCTTTCAGTTTCTGTGCTGTGCTGGAAGGAAGTGAGAATGATATGAGGTTTGTGTACTGTGCTTCCTGTATCTGCTACATGCTCGATAACTGGTCAGGCATGGATATGAAAAAAGCTATAGACTACATTAGAAGAAGCATGGTGAGTATTGGCAAAATGTAATTTCTTACTACATTTTGTGTAAGTTTATATATAAGTTTATAGATTTATTTCTTAACTATGGCTAAAAATTCTCTATGTCCAAATGGAAATATTATGCTAATTTGTTTATTTTCTCTTCCTGACTAAGCGAGTTGAAAATTAAAAAGTACATTTGTTTTTTGCATTTGTATTTTCATTGTAATGTATGTGCTGGCAAAATAATTTTATTTGCTGTGTTTGTTCACTGCAAATTAAATACATTTTCTTTTAAATCAATGAAAAATTGAAACCAGGTGTTTGAAAACTGGAGCCTGATGTTCCTGTAACTTAGAGAAGGTGCCTAAAGTGCCATATCAATAAAATGCTCACATTTTGTTGAGCTGTAGTCCTGCTTTTTAAATGATACACAAATTCTTAGGAAAAACTAATTATTGACATCAGTTCATGCTTAATAAGTATTTCCAGTCATGCACATCATTATTTATTATATACTTGGAGTGAAGGAAAATACACATATGTATATGCATACCTTTTTTCTATGTCTGTGCAAGCTGTCTTTCTATTCGGTAGGAGTAAAGGAGTTTTCTTTTTTTCCCATGGATGTTTCATTAGTTTAATTGAATTTCATTTTCCAAGTTTAAAGTAAACGTTTTTTCAAAGAAGCTGAGTAAGCTTGAAAACTGCAGTTCCCTGAATATGTGTAAACATATATAGTAAACTCTTCTGGTCCATAAAAAAGGCCCACATTTATGGCGACATACAACTTCTGTTTTAAATGAGTGTGTTTCAGTAGTTACTGCCAGCAGTGAGATTGGAAAAATATATGTGAGAATCAAGTCTGAAAGAGACTTTATCTGCTGCTTCAGACCAAATTGGGTTTTATTTCTTTTTTACTTTAAAGGAGGTGGCTGGGTGCATAAGTGCTTCTTAGTGTACATCACAAAAGCTTTCTGGCACACTGCCATAGTCTTGGACTGACCAAGGTGGTCAATGCCAGGGCTCAGTCATACAAGCATATGTACCTACAGTCTATTCAGGCTCTAGTGGCACCTTTTATCCCCTTTTTCCCTCTGTTTTCCCTTGCTTGTTTCTCCCCAGTCTGCATTGATATTTCACTTTCTCACCGTTGGTCCCTTCCCAAGCCATCCTGTAATAAGTGGTGCACACCTCTGCATGCCCCAGAAAACATTTCATAACAAGTCTTTTTTGTACAATTCTGGAATTTTCTTCTGCATGCTGTAAGAGCTCCTGTACCCCAGTAGTTGGTGACTCACTTTAGTGAGCATGGGTTCCCAGGATGAACATATCCCTACTGAATTATCTCGCTGGCTTTCAGCCAGGGACAGTGATTTTTCCATTCTCATTTCAGTGTTCGAGGGAGGGGACAAGGCAGAGTGCTTGCAATTACTGGTTAGGTCAGGAGGATTCTTCTTCCACTGATCCTTTCTGGACTTTTATGCTTATTGAGATAAGCCTTTAATCAGAGGTAGAATAGGAAAATCAAATCTTAAGAAAGAATAGAGAACAAAACCAAAGAGCAGAATCCTTATTGTGTGGTTCTATACATGGCATTGACTGTAAGTTAGCATTTTGAACATTTGAGTGCACTTTTGGTCCCAAAGACTATGGTGGAACTAGGAAGGGTACAAAGAAAGTTGAGTTAAATTGTGAAAGGTACGAACCAGCTTGTGTAAAAGCAGCATATAATACACTAGGACTCTTTATTCTGGAAATGCAATTATTAAGTGGAGTGTGACAGAGGTATGTAAAGTAACAAGTAGAACTGAAAAGATTAAGGGAGCAGGAAGCTCCTAGTTCTTCCTAGGACAGAACCGGAGAGCATCATATGAGGCCATTGGTAGTGCAGGCAAGTGGATCTATTTGAAACTTTGGAGCTTTGAAATGGCACTGGAGATTTACTCTGCAGTGGTCTTGAACCAGATTTGTTCTTGCTTATAGAGATTAGCATTAATCCTTGTACCTGCAAATTCCAGTTGTTGTGTTCTTATTGGGAAAATCGATACCACTTAGAGAAATTTAGTACTTGAAAGCTGTACAGAGTAAGTCTTACTGGAAGGGCTTGTACTAATACTTTAGTTGACCAGTGAAATAGAACTGGAGTCTGGGCACAGCTGAAGTTCAGAAGACAGTGTGGCTTATCGCAAAGATTCTGTCTTTTCCTGGCTACCTCAGAGAGCAACTGATAGTGATCCTATAAGCAGTGTTCTATAGGCAGCAGTCCTCTTAGCATGTGCAAATGTGTAACAAGACATGCTGTATTTTTGTCCAGGTTTACTGTGAATTTGTAGATTGACTATACACTATGCTCAATAGGACTTCTTTAAAACCATTGGTGTGCTGTTGATTCACTGCAGAGTTAGTACACACATGTACATGGTCTGTGTTTTCTGGGTGTGCACTGCTTGATCAGGCCAGTATTTCAGTGCATTGACTTGATTGCGAAGTGTTTGGCACTTCCAGGAGAAGATAAAATCTTTGCGTCCTGCTTAGTCACATTTAGAGCTGAAGATGCATCTGAAGAAGTCTCAGACATTCAGGGTGTAGCCTGTTGTGAAAAGTGTTTCACAGCAGTGTCTTTTCCTTCCTTTCATTCCTTGCTTTCCACCACTCTCCTTGAGATGTCTTCAAGCTCAATTGCCTATCCCATGAATCAAGTATTTCTCAAAATGCATCACATAAATAAATACAATAAATGTGGAATGTGACATCCAAGAACGTTAGCTTGATTTGTTCCATTAAGATTGTGCAGTTGGTGCTAAAAGTAAACTATATATAGCACAATTCAAAGTAAAATCAATTTGAGATTATATAATTTGTTACTCCTCATGTAACTAACTATATAATGAATATTGCTATAGATTTTATGGCAAATGCTTATTCCTGCTTTGCTAGTGTCACCTCATTCTGGTACTTTCATTAATTATAAAACAAAAGAGATTGCATTGCTCAGTCGTAAACTGCTTTGACAGAAAGGTGTTATTTTGGTTTACTGTTGTATGTTATCATTTGCTCATAGTAGCACATGACATTTAACAGACCTTTTTTCAGTTATCCAAATTGGCATATATGTGAAGTGCAACTTACCTGGACTGAGAGTACCATCACAGGTTAAACACAGTAATCTTTGTAATAAGCTTGTGGATTTTTGAATTTATTCTTTGGAATTTGTTCTCTTTAGTGATTCGGTATAGGAATTTTGACAGATACAATTCAATACAGCTGAAGGAGGGAGTGGGTTTATGTAGTTAGGCATGTCAAGAACAGCAAAAGATTTGGACCTGAAATAATGTTTAAAGTGTTAAAAAGAATTAAAACTTCATGCAGAATGGGTAGCCCTGTCGTTATCACTTGCCTGAAAAGTGTTTATGCAATGCTGATCAAAAAAATAGTTCTGGACCAGTTTTATTGTAAGTAAAATAGTTTGATGCCAATCGCACTGTTTTTGTCAGCATAGATTGATTCTTGCCTTTCACATTCAAAATTCACATGTGTCACTAATCAAAAAGCAACAGACACTAAGATGCTGAAATTTTGAATGACTTTCAGAGGCTCTATAGTACTGCTTCTTGCAGCATTGCTTGTTTTTTCTAAGTAGAGATATGTCAAGAAGCTTTAAGTATAGCTTTTGCTTCTTCTAGTAGTAAAGTCTCCTTGAAATGCAATTATATTAGTCGGTTGATATAATTAAGCTGGTTGTAAAACTTTCAGACTTTGAAGCAAAGATTGTGCCCAACTGGATTTACACATTTCCTGAGGATAGTATTTAATTACATAGTTCTGTTGTTGCAGTAACCCCGAGCCTCTTTTGCATGCAATTTCCTGGGTCTTTCCAAAAGGACAAAGAAGCAGAAGTATTTCCCTAATTTTTTAAGACACCCAAGTCCCCAAAGAGCAGCTGCTGTCTACAAATAAATTGGCATTAGTTAGCCAAAGATCAGCTGTTGTCTCTTAGAATTTCAAACGAACTGTACAGCCCAACCTGGTAGATTGTCTGGGATGCACACTTAACAGCTTTTCTCCAGGGCTAATTACTTTGTCATACATAAAGCAAACCACGTCCTCCTTCTATTGCTGTTTGTAGAGTTAATTAGCTTTGTCAGCATAGATTTGCTAATCAACTCGCCTTTGCTTAGCAATTAATGGCTCTGCGGAGTGTGGTAGCACATTTGCATTGCATTCTCAAAAGGCAGTGCTAAAGAGTTTACACTCTGTGCTTTAACATTCAGATGTTCACGGGGATTACTTGAAATTAGCTGGCTCAAACTTCAGAAAGTCAAGCTGCAGCTTGAAGTGTATGCATCAGAATTTAGTCCTTCATTGCTTCAACGTACAGCAACAACTCAAAACCTGAGGAATACAGTTTTAATGTAGCTTCCGTGTCTGCTTCTGTTACCTTTTTTTTCTTCACAACGTTAGCTTTATAAGCCAGTCGACAAAATAATCCTTAGGGAATTCCCAAAGACATGATAGGTCCTGTAGCCATTCTTTGGTTAGGACTATGAGAGTCGTTAGTGGTTCGTCAGGGTGTCTATTTCTACTAGGACTGTTAAATGTTTTGGAGAAAGCATGAGAAAGTCCTGGTCAGCACCTGGAAGGGTTTGAGGAAAGATTTTTATTGTTTTCTAACTGTCTGATCGGATATCGAACCAATCATTAATTGAGCAGTTAATGTAGAATATGTGGGACTACATAATTTAACTTCAAAAGTTAAACTCCATTGTTCCTGCTAACAGTTTGGTATTTGTCCAGTGATAATTTAGTAAGTATTCTATGAACTCTGGTAAAATAAACATTTTTCCATGTTATGAATAATTTAATATGTGATCTTTTGTTTCTTTTCATGCAAAATGATGTAATGAATTATTAGGGAAGAAAGATTGTTAAGTCCTACATATACAATATCATCTCCTAGATTGATCTTAACAACCTGTACTATAATATTCTTGGTGCTTTGTTTGTCAGACTCAAATTTCTCCTTTTTGTTACACTTAAAGTGATTTTTCATCATTGTTCAGGTATTTTTTAACAGTCATATTTCATAGGGCAGGTAAAGTTTAGTCCAATGTAAGTTATACTTATGTTGCCAGTTCTGGTTTTCTCCCCCTTGTATTTTTTAAGGCCTGATGTACTTGTTTCTTATAAAAGCATTCCTTGTATTCGAGTATTCTACACACAGTAGTACTTTGGATTTAAATCATCCAATTAATTTTGTTTTGTTTTGATTACATTCCTATTTTTTCTTCTTATAAAGACAAAATAAGGCATTGGGTTTTTCTTTAATGGTTATCTGCATCACATGCTTTCCCTTTTTGGCAAAGGCATGTTTACCTATTTTGGTTTAACCCCAGCCAGCAGCCAAGCCCCACACAGCTGCTCACTCATCCCCCCCACCAACGAGATCAGGTAGAGAATCAGAAGGGTAAAAGCTAGAAAACTCATGGGTTGAGATAAAGACAGTTTGATAGGGAAAGCAAAAGGTGTACACGTAAGCAAAGCAAAACAAGGAATTAGTTCACTACTTCCCATAGGCTGGAGGTGTTCAGCCATCTCCAGGAGAGCATGGCCCATCACATGTAACAGTGACGTGAGAAGACAAACACCATCACTCCAAAAGTCCCCCCTTCCTTCTTCTTCCTCTCACTTTATATACTGAGCATGATGTTATATAGTATGGAATAAATATTCCTTTGGTCAGTTTGAGTCACCCGTCCCAGCTGTGTATCCTCCTAACCTCCCATGCACACCCAAATTCCTTGCTAGGGTGGCAGTGTGGGAAGCAGAAGAGGCCTTGGCTCTGTGTAAGCTCTGCTCAGCAATAACAGAAACATCTCTGCATTGGCAGCCCTGTGTTCAGCACAAATTCTAAACATATCCCATACTAGCCACTGTGAAGAAGGCTCACTATACCCTAGCCAAAACCAGCACACATGGGTCACAACTGAAATTAATTCCAAGTCATAAAAGCTGCCTACATGGGAACAGGGCTTATTTCTTAACTGTATTGTGCCAAGAACTTTGGAGGTATTGGTTCAGAATTCGATCAACTTAAATGGTGATAATGGTCTCGTGATACTATTCCTAGTAAGCTAAGAAATTGCAATGTCTGTGAAAGTGATGTGGTTCTTAAGTGACTGGTTTGTGGGACTTTTTTTTTCTTTAGTCTTATGATAATGGCCTGGCACAGGGAGCTGGACTGGAATCTCATGGTAAGAATGTTAAAATGTTATACACCTATTTTTAAGACGGGGTTTGAAAATGCTGTAAGAGGTGCAGGGTATGTCATACCTTTCCTTCTTTTCTGATTTTAAGGAAATGGGATGAGGTGGACCAAATCTAAAACATGCCTTGGATTATCATGTCTTCTTCCCTTAGTTTCTGCTTAATATAAGACAAGATGGGATATATCCACTCGTATTAATCTCACCTCATGAATGTTATGTGTTGACTTAGTTTCTCATCTCTTGCTGCAGAGTAAACTTTTTCCACATGTGTCATTGCTTTCTGTGGGTTTTATCTGCAAGAGGTTTTGTGTAATTCACCTGGTCATCTTGGCTATTACTAAAACCTAGAAACATTTCCTCTGATAGATCACAGCATCTGTTGTGAGCTCAAATCTTGAAGCAGCAGTTAATTTTTGTAAACACTTGGAAGTTCTGAAGATGGGAATCTCCAGGAGACTGCCGTTTTTAAGCAAAATGTTTCTATGCAATGAAGTAGTGGTCTGCTTGTGACAGAGAAGCTCTTGACTTTTATGTAACTGATACTAAATCTAATGCTATGGCCTAGCTGACATATTAAAACAATTGGTTAACTAAGTTTCTGTACTATGGTAGTGATAACAGATCACATTACTTCAGCATCCTTCTCCTGCTGCATTTCAGCATCAGAATGAAAATAATCTTATTGTTCCTGGGGCCTTCTGGCAGCAGGCTAATGTAAAGAACTTTGGTCCTAAGTCTTGTGTCATCAGCTTGGTTATGGTCTTTCCCAGTCTCTAATTTTATCAGATCAGGTAATAAACTCAGAATTAATATCAGTGGGCTTTAAAAAGTGATGGCCATGATACACAGAACATTAGGTTCTCTTCTAATTGCAAATTTTACCATGCAGTTTCTTTGACAGCAAAAAATTCCTTAGAAGCACAATTTGTATTTATTACAACCATAAGAGTCTAGTAGTCTTTTTGTAGTATTAACTATGCCTTTCTATTTTATTTTTCTTTTCTTTTCTTCTTTCCCTTCTGCTCACTAGACACTTCTGTCTGTTTATATCCTCTGGGGGGTTGTGTCTGAGACTGCCTTTGGTATCTCTGCTTCATTCTGATTGCTGTCATCCCAATAGCTGTCTTTTTTAAGTTACATATAAAGAAATTTTTCTGTTGCAATGCAGTTTACTTATTTCTGAAGTGCTGTGTAATGCAAATTATGCAGCGTTGGGAGGAAAGCTTTAAGAAAATGAATTCAGGGTTTTTTTGTGCAAGAGCTGGATTGTGAGG